ATCTGGGTATTCGATTCAATCAAAGAGGACATATTATTTTCCGGCTGTGCAAGGTAAGGAGTCATATTCGGTATTTCCTGAAGTGTATTGTTGTTAGTTTTGCTAATATCGATTTCGTCACTTACCTCGGGAATAATCTCTGTATCTACTCTTGGAGATGGGGCATAGCCTCGAATTACTGATTCCTCAGGTATAGAAGTTCTTTCATTATCAGTGTTATCTGGTATAATAGCAGAGCTAGTGTCAGTGGCAAAGCCACGAGTCTTCGACTCAAGACACATGGTATCGATTTTTCCAGCTTGATTCATATTTTTTTTATGTATAAAATATTGACTGAGATTTCTATCCGCAGAAATATTACTAGAATTCGATATGGAACTTTGTTCCTCGCTCTGCGTATTTTTTTCGTCGTTTCCACCAACTATGGGTTTCGATATAGCCTCTGATTTCAGATGCTCGAGTTCATTGACCTTCGATTCCAATGAGCTCTTTATATGATCTAATTCAGCTATTTTAGATTTGAGAGATAAATTTTCGGATTCTTTTTTCAATGAGTCATTTTGAATAGAAATTACATCCTTCTGGGCCGAAGACAACTTACCTTCCAATATTTTTTTCATAGACCGAAGTGCTGTAATTTCCTTTGATTCATTCTGAGTTGAAGATAATTTCGTTTCCAATATTTTTATCCTAGACTGAAGATCTTTTATCTTAATTTTAGATTCATTAAGAGAAATGTCTTTGCGGGTAATCTGAGATATTAGACTATCCAACTCTGAGCTCAATCGCTTAACCTCCTCTATAAGCTGGTAGGTATGCTTGGAGAGTTTCTCTTTATCTTTATTGGATTGTTTTAAATCACGTTGTATACGCTTATTGTCTTTATCCAAGACAGAACATTTATTGACAAGTTGATTGCCACACTCTATAGCAATTTTTCGATCTCGATTTGCACAAGCAAGCTGGTTTTCAAGTTCTATTCGATTAGGTGGATATCGACTAGATGGTATACCCCCTAGTTTATTGCCTTCACTTATATCTGACAATGTATAAATTCGAGGCATATGCGTTTTAACACTAGCTCCACTATTATATCAATGAAATAAATATAAAAAAAAGATATAATGTATTAAATAGAATATACATATCTATTAATGTGCTAATTTTAATGTATTAGATAGAATATATGTATTAAATAAATAATATAATCCTATATATTTGATGTATTCTATTTTTCTGATATATTTTATATTTCCGATATATTTTAAATTTTTTATTTTTCCGATATATTTTGTTAGATAAAAAACAAAGTAATTACAATTATTACTATGGTTAGAGTACGTATAAAATCTGATGCACCTTTGTTTTCAGCTGAAGATTATTCATATATAATGCAATGTCGTGATATAAAGCCAAGATACAAAATTTTAAAAGAATTATTGGATAAATATAAAACATCATCAAAACGTATTTATCAAATTTGGAGAGGAGAAGAGGCTAATAGAGTTCTCTGGGATCAACCTATACCTTATTCATATGTATCAGAGACTACCTCTGGCAATAATTCATCTAGTACAAATGATGCAATTCGCTCTGAAGTTTTATCTGATGAATCAGTAGAAGTGGTACAGCCAAAGATTCGAAATTCTACTTCTTCACATGCAGTAAAAAAAAGTGCCTCTTCTATAGACAATACATCTAAGAGAAAATCCGATCTTGAAAAATTAATAAAAGATACTAAAAGATTAGCTCCTATGTGCCCATCTTTGCCTCGGTAAGTTTGGAACATCTTTCTACAAGAATGTTACCCGCTTTTAAAGCCATATCAAGCCACTCTTCAGTCATAATAACTCGTTTTTCAAGTTCATTGCATTTTTTTTTAAAGTAGAATTGTCAGAATCTAAGCTAAAGTCCGCAGGAGCACACCATTTTTCGAATGGTACATTCTTATCACTATCCATCTCTTGAGAAATTTGATCGGATACCAAAGGCTTATCATTCTGAGATGCGGTAGCGCAATGTACCTCAAGCTCATTTTCAACCTTGTGCATCGTAACTGGAATGTAAAAATCTTTCCCGTTGCAATTGATCTTCAGTAAATCCTTATCCCCGAGTATTTGATATTTATGGTGATAGAGGAAAGGATTGCTCAATAACAACAAAGGCTTATCATATTCAATAACTACAAAATCTAAATAAAATACACAGCCAGGAGCTAGGGTTAATAGTACGTTATAAACCATTCCAATAGATTTGGTTAGGACAGTGGATGCCCCCTTGAAATAAAACACCGCACTTTTATCAATTTCCAAACCCAAGCGCTTGGGAATATCCTTAGACATAAGTAAAGTATTTGAGCCAGGATCGACTGTAATTGCCGAAAGTACTAGACGTTTGATCTTACCACGAACAGTTGGAACATCTATCACATCTTTATCTTGAACAAAGTTAATTTCCATATCTTCGATAACTTCTTCATCCTCAGTATCTTCGATTTGTTGAGAAGAAGTGACATTTGTGGTACTAGATTTCTGAAAATTTCGTAAGATTTTACGTATAGTCTCCTCAAATAAAGCGGAATTTTTAAGCTCGTTTTGGATTATCTCACGAATTCGTTGTTCTAGTAAAGTTGAAGTTGGATTCCCCCTATCCTCTGTAGAATATATATCTTTCTTTTCTTTGTATCGTTTCGAAATTTGCTTTTGCGAGGATATCGCATTGAGTACTTGCTTAGGTCGCTCTATTTTTTTTTAATTCTGTCTACATCAACATTGGAATCTCCATCGGATATATTATCCTCTTCTTGATCGGAAATAGCAAATTCATCGGGGAGTTCTTCTGTATCAGAGTGGCTTTGTTGAAATCCATCGGCAAAATTTACACGACCAGTTTTTTTCTTAGAATTAGCAACCATATTCCTAATTACAGGACAACTACGATAAGTATGGCCCAGCTTTTTGCAAATTTCGCATTTACGTTGGGTTGATCTAGCAGTAATCTTAGATGAATTTGTTGCATTTATTGTTGGCTCTGGTATATTAGATAATTCTTTAATCTGATTGACTTTATTGATAATTGCGTAATCGATTTCCATCGGTTCTAGTACTCTGTTATCTTCAACTTCGAGGCCCATTTCCGCATAATTCTTTAACTCTTCATAGTATTTTGCTTTCTCAGTTTTTGGACGGAAATTTTGATATTCATATATTGGAGGATTTGTAATTCGTTGATGTGGTTGAGATTTCGGTTGCTGAACAATTTGCTGAGGAGGTTGGAACATAGGTTGTTGAACGATTTGTTGAGGTGGTTGAAACGTAGGTTGTTGAAATGTAGGCTGTTGTATGATTTGCTGAGGAGGTTGGAATGTAGGCTGTTGAACGATCTGCTGAGGTGGTTGAAATGTCGTTCCATTCATATTATTCGCACTTCCATAGTTAAATAAAGAAGGTCTACGCTCCAACCACATATTCTTGAGATTAGTAAAGAATGCATCAATGTCCGCAGGTTGCGCAACTTTCATTCGAGTGAAAAGTTCGTCAGGTAAATGATTCATAAGGAATGACAAGGCATTAGCGTCATTATTAGGTACTCCTAGTAAAAATGGTCGAATCCTATTCTCATACGTTTCTGGGTTATCAGTAGGTTTGAATAATTCGAACGCTAATCTCTGAATTGCAACTTGTTGAGTCCCAACCATTAATTGCTGATATTGATACCTGATCCAATCTCTGAATCGTGCTGGAGTATCGATATTTGTTCCATTTGGATATTGCGCAGGAACTGGTAGATATTTTCCTCCCATTTGCGATTTATAAATATCTGCCTTGTGAGCATCCGTAAAAGTGTTTGCATTGGCAGTATTAGCATCAGTAATAAGTGTATCGGCATAAGAAATTGCTTGAGCAACCCTGTTGTAGTAATCGTCCGGTGGTTCCTGGCCTATATAGACCGGAATTTGAGCAAGTTTCGGTGCAATAGTTAGATAGATATGTTGTCTTGATGCCTGAGCCATATCTTGTAAGTTATTATTAAGCGCCAAAATTTGTTGATTTAAATTTATAATTATTTGCCGAGAAGTTTTTTCCTTATTTTCCCATTTTTTGTGTTTCGCCTTTTGCTTGATATGCTTACCTTTTCTCTTTGCATGCTTTCTACGCCAAGTTTGTAAGTCGGCTTGGCACGTTTGTAAATTACCGGTCTGGAAATTGTGGGCCTGATTAAGAAGATTGAAATTATTATTCACCGTATCCAGCTGAGCCTGTAATTGTATAATAATTTGTGCATCTCCCTGAATTTGGGCTTGAAGTTGACCATATTGCTGATACTGGGTTTGTGCTTCGTTATTTTCCCAGTCAGCAATTTCTTTTAGTCGAAGTGCAGAATCATTAGCCGTAATAATCTTGTTTAGAATATCCCTCTGATTCCAAGCCGAAGTGTGGGAATTTCGAACATAATTATCAATATGTATATTTTCATCCAGAAGTGTATCGAAAAGGTCGTTAAGTTCATTAGGCCTAGGTGGTTGAATTGGATCTGGTTGAATCGGCTGAGACATCTTAACTATATTAAGTGAATCTTTGATTTCTGCAGATTTATTATACTTCCGAGAAGTAATTTTTTGAATTTTATTTTTTAATATGATCACTTCGTCTTCGAGTGTAGACAACCGTTGCTCTAGATCAAAAATGTAACCCTCCTTTTTATCAGCATCCTTCAAAGCAGTCTGGAGACGTTTTTGCAAATCGGATACTTGGAATTTGAGTTCTTGAATTTCCTTTTCATGAGCAATAATGGTGTTATCCTGAAATGAAATGGTTTTCTTACAATATTCAAGATCCTTGATGAGACTACGGATTTTTTTCTCATTTTCGCGGTTTATGTCTACTTCTTTACCTAACTCTTTACGTAACTCTCGATTAGTGTCTAGCAGTTGTAGATATGCTGGATCGAAATTATAATCCATTATTTTTATAGTTCATATTAAAATGCATCAAAATGAGTATACCTAGTATTATAATTAACGCTGATGAGGAATTAAAAATCGTTCTTCGTATAATTTACTATCACGTACCTGGATTTAGTTCAAACGCAAAGCAGTTACAAAAGGCTTGTTGGCAAGAAGGATATAATCATATTTCCCTGCAAGATATCGCAAAATGGTTAAAGCACCAGTATGTTAATCAAATACATCTCTTTCCGCAAAAATGCAAAGCCGGAGCAGGGTTTCAGAAGATATCTATTCCTAACAAAGTACATCAGTGCGATCTGCTGGCCCATGGTTATGATGATCAGGATGGTGAAAAAATATATCGTTATACATTAGTGGTTATAGACATTGCTACGCGTTATAAAAGTGGACGCTCATTAACATCGAAGAATAGTTTAGAAGTTTGGAAAGCTATCGAAGAAATTTACAATGATCCTAAAAATCTTCACACATGGCCAAAATTATTGATGCTGGACGGCGGTAAAGAATTCTCTGGATATTTTGCACGAGGAATGGAACGTCATAATGTACCTATTTGGGTCGTTGACCTTTACAGTTTCGAAAGTCTAGCATTGGTCAAAGCATTGAAACGAAGATTAGCGCAAATAATATACAAAATTCAATATGCTATAGAATCTAAATTACCAGCAGGAGAACGTTCTACATTATGGAATATTATTCTTGAAGTAATTTTTGATAATATGAACAACAGTCCTACACGATTAATCGGAATGACCCCATCCCATGCTATGACGTTGGAAAAAGTGATCTCCAAACCCTCTATAAAACCAAAGAGACCAATTGGAGAGGACGAAGAACAAATACAAAAGGGACTACTGTTCGTTACTTATTAAAACCTGGTGAACTAGAAGGCGGACATACACGCCGAGCAACCGATCCATACTGGAGTCTACGTGTTTATCGAATCAGAAAAGTCGTTGTTGGAAAAAATCCACCACAGCCAGTCTTATATTATTTAGAGAAGGAAGCGGTTGAATCTACAAGACATTTAATGGGATGTAATCCTCGTAGACCATTCAAAATGGAAGAATTGCAAATCGTAGATATGGAAAATCTTGAATATCCTCCAGACGAATTTATCCAGAAATATCATTATCAATCAAGACTAATTCAGAAGAAACCATTATCAATTGGAATGGTCTTGGAGATAACCATTATTGATTAGAGATTCTTGGATAAAGTTATAAAGATCTATGTCATATGGAATTTCGATGAGGCATATACCCTGTTCCTTACAGATATTCCGCTTTTTTTGATCACGTTTCCTTTGCTCGCTCAAATCTTGTCCACTTTTATGAAACATTGAATTAAGAGCATAGTGTTGCTGACCATTAAATTCGAAGGCCAGTTTTAATTCCTCATTGTATCCATCAAAGCGCATCCCTTGTAAGAATTTCGGTGCATGAGGTGGAAACTTTTTTCCTAACAGATCTTCGAATATATACCTTGATGTACGTTCTCCTTTCGAATGAGGACATAGGGGGCACCAGTCATATCTCTTCGTAATAGGCCTCTCCCATAAGTGATTTCTATTGCATGAAAATAAGAAAGTTGTAGGACCGGTTTGAATGTAACATTTTCCTCCACGTTTTTCGGCGTAAGTTTGAGCTTCAGCAAGATTCGACATGTTTATACTTATATATACAATATTAGGAAAAAAAATAATGCGCGCGTTCTGTCACGCAACGCCGATCACTCTTGGCAAGAAAAAATAGTCAACCCGAAACTTAACCTGAGATAGACTCTTCCGATCCAGATCGCCAATAGAGAATAAATCATGACAAATGTGTGTTTTTCTCTGATCAAATGACGTAAAATGGTGTCAAGATCGCCCATATAAAAACGTTTACTGAGATCGTCCATTGAAAAAAATAAGCATAATTATAATATTTTTAACCTCCAATACTGAGTATTAATTATTCAAATAATAAAATAGCGCATTCTCATAATCTTGACATGTGTAAAAAATCCGAATAAAAGAGAGTAGATTACGCAAGTTAATTGTTATAATGGGCTCTAACTTTGTTCTCACTAAATCATTTAATATAAACACAAATCAAAGTTGACTATATTTCATCATTAATTGTTGTGCGGATAAACCTTATTACTGATAAAATTTCTAGCAGGTTCGAGGGCTCTCTGTAATGCTTACGCACAGATTTACCTTTAGTATAAAGATGTTTCTATTGGTAAAAATAAACGTGATATGTTACTTACAAAGTAATATAAATACAGCTCGACTTCTTTGATACCTCACTATAACATTCAAAAAATAAAAAAAATTAACAAAAAAAACAACTAAAAAACATTTTAAAATTAACTAAAAATGTCTATCGATATAATTGATATTTTTTTCTTTCTGAATTTAATCACACCATATGTAATCGTGATGTTTATGCGCATCTCAAATAAACAACAAAGTGTGGATCCAACTACAAAAAAATATTGAAAAAGCTATTTTAGCGCTCAATAATGAAATCAGTAAAATGCATACCGAATCAGAATGGAAAAGTGAAACACAGAGTCAAGGTAAATTTTGATAACCTACCTTACGATGCAAGTGAACTCGCTCATTCCAGAATTATACTAACGAGTCTAACATTACAGGTCGCGCCTCTATTACAAGCCATTGACCGGAATATTCAGATGAAACCGAGGCTACCTGGGTTGAATTTACATACCTCTTCGACGAAAGAAGAAAAAGAGAAGGGCGTTCCCCCGCTACAATGTATAATGTCTTATCTGAAGAAATTGGACTTGGTCCTGCGACGTTATCTGGATTTTATCGCCACCAAAAAAAACCACATGTTACAACATTAGATAAAATCGAAGCTTGGCTGGATAAAGAAGGGAAAAAGAAAAACAAGTTCATTAGTAGTAGTAGTAGTAGTAGTAGTAGTAGCGGTAGAAATAAAAATGATAATCTTATAATAACTAGTACTAGTACTGAATAATCACGAGCCCAAAGTATAGGGATGCACAATATACGACCTTGGATTCGTGCATTATATGCAATTTTGCATCCCTCCCATGCAAGCTCGCGTTTATTTCTATTTTATATATCAAATATCATTAAAAATCATTATTATTAAATATCAAATATTACAATAAAAATAATTTTACCAATATTTTCTAAAATTCAAATTTGTTATAATCGATCAGGTTCATTGTATTAATGGGCTGTGTAATAAAAATATTCTTAGATTTTCAATGCATGCATTATTATTTCCAGATGATTAATTAGATTCTGCTCTAGAAATTTTCATTAGAAAAATTGATCGGGAACCCTGAATTCATACTGTAAAAATGGGTAGGTGCCTAAATATATTAATAATATAGTTTATGTAATCATTGAAATTTTAAAAATAAATAGCAAGAGTTTCGTAAAATATACACTTAATCCATAATAATAATAAATTTGATAATCTATCCGCATAATCAATCAGATAATTTAATGGGGCTGTGCAACGAAATTATTTTTATATGTATGCATGTTTATTTGTGCGATTAACCAAATTCGATTAATTAGCATTCATGTACATTCATTTTCTTTGTGAGAGAAATTTTTGGCGTAAATACATTCTTTATTTCTGTATTGTTTCATTCGATAAATCTAGAGGAAGAAATACGTTTAAAAAGGGCAGTATATCGAGTTATAAATATTTATTGCTTTTTATTTGCGATTTTGTTATTAATCTGAAAATCTATTAACTCAGCATTCATATCTTTTTTAATTGAAAAAATGGAAGCATTCTTAATATCTTTTTCACCTGTTTCGGCTATAAACATATTTACCGCTTTATGTAAACGAGTAGAGTCTGGTGAGTGGACGAATGATTGTAATAAGGAGAGAGAGAACTTTATTAAAACATTGGATAAATCGTTAAGTGTAGTAAGTATAGATAACACTGAAAGATTAGAGAAGCTTCATGGTTTCGGAACTGGTGATATATTGAAACGGCGTGTAAGTTTCTAAAATTATTAAGAGTTTATAGTAAACTAGATATGATGAATTAATTGGTTTTCTTGTGGGGGTAACGAAAAATACTCATTAGAGAGGATGTTAAACATATTGTTACGTATTTTTGTTATTCTCATCGCCGAGGCGCATTACACATAAGGTGGTATTTAGGCAGTGAATGGACCTTGTCTCTGTAGTATTAATACTATGTTGACGTGGGCAGTAACTGCCTATGTACATAAAAACATCATATGTGAATTCCGCTAAGGCTATATCATTAACAGCCGGCTATTCTTGAAATTTATATGAAAAAAGAAAACCAATCTGATCACGCGTATACGTAAATGATGTTAGATACTTTTATTTTTATCCGGTTAACATTTTTTATTATATTTTATCTCCATAGGTAGAGGAGGCGTTTGAATATATTTGTTCTTCATTGGAGTTGAAAGTTTTGGTATGCTTTTAATAATGACATACTGTTATTCCTGAGAAATTAAAATCAATAGTAAATGATTAAAAATTACAATTATAGAATGTCGAGAAGCCCTGGTTAGTAAATGCATCTAAAAATTTCAATATGTTG